AAATGTTTTATTGTGATCGAGCCAGAAATAATCAAAGGTACCAAAATAAATATATTAATTAAATAGTCGGATTGATGGCTATATTTATCCGATAACTAATTATGCATAGATGGGTCAAAGTGCAATATTGACTTAGAGGTTATTTATTATTTAATTGGAGTTCAATTAATTTCTTTTAGTGGAGTAGAAATTAATTTATGAATTAATTGAATTGGGTCCATGGACCGGGTCAATTATTAATTCATTTTAGCCAATAAAATAATAGGCCCAATGGATTCTCACTCATAGCCCAACTTGATATTGGAATCATATTAGATTTGAGACATATGAATTAGAGATGGAGAAGGATTTGTTGTTTCCTTTTCTTTATTTTTATGTTGCCTATAAATATACATGGTCTATGTATATTTTAGGGTGTGATTTTTATGAGAAGGAAAAAGGAATAAATTTTCTCTCTCTAGAAAATTAGGGTTTATGGTCTCATCTAATAGAGGCTCTCACAAGCCTAGTTTTCCAAGGTCATTCATAGGGGCATATGAGTGATTCCTAAAGGCAAAATAATTACCAAGAAGATGGAGATCCAAGGAGAAGGCATCTTGCTAAGGGATCTACAATAAGTGAGAACATTCACTTTAGAGGAAAGTTTTAAAGGTTTACTCAGACCTTTGATGTAAGTATTCAATCTGTTAATTGAATGATACATCATATTTTTATTTTTGCATAAAACTTGTCTCTATGTGATGAATCAAGATCTATGAATCAAAATCCCTCGAAAAGTTTTTAAAACTTGCACGTTTCCCAACACTTTCGTGTTGGGATTTTTAAAGAATTGTTGCAACAACAAAATTTAAGGAGAGGAATATCATCATGTCAACTGGTATGAATACTCTTAATCTCTCACAATCTTTATTAATCCCTATTTTTACTTGAGAAAATTATGAATTTTGGAGCATTAAAATAAGGACCTTTTTTATTTCACAAGATCTTTAGGATCTAGTTGAGACTGGCTATGTAGATATTGAGAGTTCTAAGACTGTTGAGAAGGCAACCGATTTGAAGTCAACTGAGTTAAAAGAGCTTCGTAAAAAGGATGTGAATGCTTTACTTGTTTTGCAGCAGGCTGTGAAAGATATAATCTTTTCTTGCATCTCAACTGCCACCAAATCAAAAGAAGCTTGGACTATTTTGAAGGATGAATTTCATGGAGACAACAAGATAACCATTGTGAAACTCCGGACCTTCCACAGAGAGTTTGAAACTCTTTTCATGAAAGGCAATGAATCTGTGCAAGATTTCTTTTCTAGAGTTTCTGTTATTATAAATAAAATGAAAGCATTTGGTGAGGAAATTTCTAATCAAAAAATTGTAGAAAAGATTTTAAGAAGTCTCCCTTCAAAATTTGATCATGTAGTCACTGCTATCAAGGAGTCTAAAGATTTAAAAGTTTACTCTCTTAGTGAACTAATGGGTTCTCTTTTAGCTCATGAAGAAAGAATGAATAGATCATCACAGAAAAATATTGAGTAGTCATTTTAGGCCAAGGTGGAGATTTCTAACAAAGAGAAAAGTGTTGGAGGCATTTCCATGGATTAGAATAATGCAGGATGAGGCCGAGGAAGAGGAGGCTGTCGTGGTCGTGGAAGAGGACGTGGCAAATCTGGTATAGGTCATCAAAATGGTGATAGAGACAACCAACACAGCGATAAAGGGAATTACAGATAGAACTACAAGGGAAATCAATGCTATTACTGTTATGGATATTTTAATAAAATATAAATAGTAATTGATATAATTTATTATATTTATAATAATAATTATTATTATATGAGTTACATGATATTTATATTTATTATATGATTTAAATAATATTTAATGGTATATTATTTCAATCATTATGTCTATCATTATGTTACCTTAAGCGTTACTTCTTTATTCCCTCTCTATATACCTCTTATATAAAGTATCATAGGTAGAGCTAAGACGTATGATACCTCCTATATAAAGTATCATAGGTAGAGCTAAGACGTATGATAATTTATCAGAGCAAGTTAGACTTTCGTGTATAAGGCCGTGAGCCTATTTCCTTGAGAGTAATTTTTATATATTGAGTTTATGAGCAACTAGACTTCTATAGACTTGGACCTAGTCTTCCTGTGGTCGTGCACATGGAGGAGACGCCGCTGCGAGCTGATTGGGTTGTATCTTGGAGTTGATTAGTTTCACCAATAACTGCACGAAATGGAAGACTATCAACTTTAGGTCAATGTGTTTACACATGTCTTAACAATCAGGCTAGCACTTTCTTACCTATTTTATTATTATCGTTTTACTTCTTAATTTATATTTTTGAGCTAATATTAATATTATATTATTCTGAATTATTTATTATGTTAAGTTACTTATTCACTGTTATATCCATATTGTTAAATTGATGCATTATACAATTTAATGAAAGAATTGTTATTTGATTATCGGTGTTATTGTAATTTATATATTTCTATAATTATGTGGAATTTTCCACAACAATTACTGTAAGAAATTTGGCTATACTGAAGCATATTGTTGGGAAAAGGAAAAACAACAAGCTAATTTTACTGAATTGAAGGAAGAATTAAGTAATTTGTTTCTTGTTTAAATTCCAATGAAAGCAAAAATGATATATGATTGTTAGATAGTGGTTGTAGTAACCATATGACTGGAGAAAGAAGTCTCTTCCGTACTCTTGATGAATCAGTAAAGTTGCAAGTTCGGCTTGGTAATGATAAACAAGTTCAAATTGAAGGCAAGGGAACCATTGTGGTTAAAAGCAAGTAAGGTATTGAAAGATCAATTAATGATGTTTACTATATTCCTGGTTTAGCTTATAATCTGTTGAGTGTTGGATAATTGACTCAAAAGGGTTATTAAGTCTTATTTCATGATGATATATGTGAAATTAAAAAGGGAGAATATGATATGGCCTCTTATTAAAATTTACATGACTAAAAACAAGATGTTTCCTCTTGATCTTTCATGTTTTGATGATTGTGCACTAGTTGCCAATGTTAATGATAGGTCGAGGCTTTGGTATTTGCATTATGGCCGTTTCATTTTAATGGGCCGAAATTGTTGAGTTAGAAAATGATAATTGTGTTTGGTCTGCCTTTTATTGTTTTTATTGATGATATTTATGAAAGTTGTATTTATGGGAAGCAGCATGGCTTACCATTTCTAGTTAGAAAAGCTTTGAGAACAAAGATAACTCTAGAACTCGTTCATGCAGATATTTGTGGCCCGACAAATACTCCATCCTTAAACAAGAATAGATATTTTTTGTTTTTTATTGATGATTAGACTCGCATGAGTAGGGTTTACTTTCTTACTTACAAATCAGAAGCTTTTGAGAAATTTCAGGAATTTAAAACTTTCGTAGAAAAAGAAAGTGGGCATGTTTTAAAAACTCTTCGAACTTATAGAAGGGGAGAATTCCTATCAAATCACTTTTGTCTTTTTGCAAGCTAAATGGCATCCGAAGGCAACTAACGGTAAGAAAAACTCCTGAACAGAATGGGTCGCTGAAAGAAAGAACAGGACAATTGTGGAAATGGCTAGATATATGTTGAGTGAAAAACGACTTCCAAATGATTTTTGGGCAGAAAAAGTGGCAACTTTAGTTTTCCTCCTTAATATATCTCTAACAAAGGTAGTGCATAATATAACTCCGTATGAAGCTCGATGGAAACGAAAGGCCCATGTAAGTTGTTTATAAGTTTTTGGTAGTATTGTTTATTCTTTGATCGACTCTAACGACCGTACCAAGCTTGATAGAAAAAGTGAGAAATGTATCTTTGTTGGGTATAGTGATGAAACCAAGGGCTATATGTTGTATAATCCAGAAACTAAGAAACTAATTATTCGCAGAGATGTTGCTATTAATGAAAATAGTTTCTGGAATTGGAAAAGTGAAAAAAACAAGATTGTGCCATTTGTAAAAGATGAAGTTGAGCCAACACAGAGTATGGGGAAAGTAACGACTCCTAAATCCTCTCCATCATCAAGTTCTTCGGGGAGCACTCCTTCAAGGGATCTAAGTTGTGAAGACAGTAGCCACATGTATCCTACTCTTGATACTGATACACCTCTATGTAGGTTAAGGTCTTTGAAATAAACTAATGAGTAATGCTTTTTTGATCTTAAGATATCAGAACTTGTGAGTTATGAGGAGGCACAAAGAATACAAGAGTGGGAAAATTCTATTCAAGAAGAAATGGCAGCAATTGAAAAAAATAAAACTTGGGAGCTAGTTGACTTGCCACCCAAAAATGATGCAATTGGTGTGAAATGGGTTTACAAAGTGAAGTATAATGCAGATGAGATGATACTGTGCAAAAATTCAAGGCAAGGCTCATTGCGAAAGGATATGTGCAACAATATGGTATAGACTTGTTTGACTCTTTTTCCCTAGTTGCTCGATTTGAAACTGTCAGAATGATTGGCAAGTATTTCAGTTTGAAACTTTGATGTTAAATCTGCTTTTTTAAATGGGTATTTGGAAGAAGATGTGTATGTTGAACAACCACAGGGATTTGTCATCAAAGGAAAGGGTGAGAGTCTACAAATTGAAAAAAGGCTTTATATGGATTAAAACAAGGTCCATGAGCGTGGTACCGTAGACTTGATTCATATCTTCGTCAAAACGGGTTTCATTGAAGTGATAGTGCGCCTACTTTGTATGAAGGCAAAAGGTAATAATATTCTCATTGCATGTGTATATGTGGATGATACTATTTACACTAGATCTTCTAGCTTCTTCGTTAAAGAATTCAAGAAAAGTATGATGCATGAGTTTGAAATGTCTGATTTGGGGTTATTGCATTTTTTTTCTTGGTCTTCAAGTTCAGCAAACTAATAATGGTATTTTTATCTCTCAAGAAAAATATGCATTAGATTTGCTCAAGAAATTTAATATGTCAAATTGTAAGATTTTTTCTACTCCCATAAATACAAGTGAGGAGTTATCGATGAATGATGGAACTCCAAAGGCTGATCAAAAGGTTTTTAGAAGCATGGTTGGAGGATTGTTGTATTTGAATCATTCTAGACTGGATATCATGTTTCCAGTGAGTTTAGTCTCAAGATTTATGTATAATCTGTCTGCACATCATCTTAGAGCAGCAAAACGGATTCTTCGCTATGTTCGGGCAACAAGTGATTTTAGGATTTGGTATAAAACAATTCCTAATTTTAAACTACTTGGTTTTACTGACAGTGATTGGGCTAGTTTTACAGATGACTGGAAAAGCGCAAGCATTTTTATCTTCAATCTTGGTTCGGGAGCTGTGTTTTGGGTTTCAAAGAAGCAAGCAACAGTTGCATTATCATCTTCAGAAGCTGAGTAAAAGAAGTTATTGCATGGTCAATGTCCATTTAAGAAAGAAAAATGATAAACTTTACGACTCAAAAAGCCAGGAAAAAAACCTAATGGCTGAGTTTTATTGACCACGTAAGAAGGTTTATTTTAGATGAATATTTAAGAAAAACAAAGCTTTGCAGTTCCTCCATCACCGGTGGCCCACCTTCTTTAACAATCATCATTGCCTTATTCATCCACCACCGGTGACACTCGAGACCCAGGTTGTCTTATTCGTTCCATGGATATGTAGAGTGACTCTAATGGCACAATAAGAATAATTTTTATCTTCTCCATTTACACCAGAACCACCCTCACTTCAACCAAATGAAACTAATATTAAACATCAATTTTACAAAATCTACACTAATATAAAAAAATTATTCAATGTAAATATTGAAAGGAAAATTAGTTAAAACTTTGTGTTTTTGGTGGTGTTTAACTATTTTAGAGGTCTATTGAACCTTCTTATTATTAGAGCTGTCATAAAAGTGTTGTCAGTAAAAAAAAAAAAAAGGTATGTTTGCTTTTGGTGATACATTATATAAAACAGTTTTTATATTTGAAGCACTTTAAATTTTATTTGGTAGTATTGCTTAAAGCAGTTTTATTACTAATTTTACTATATTACCCTTATAGTAATAAATGTGTGTTACTCAAAAGTAATTTCTATCGTACAACAGAAAAATTCCTCTTGAGATGCAATTTTTTTTTTTTTTTGTATTTTTTTTTTAAAATTATTACAATATAAAATATTATAAGCTAAGTGTAGAAAATGTGAAATTGAACCGGAAATCAAACTAACAATAGTAGTCCTAACAATATTTCAATACTCATAACTACATATATATATATATATATATATAGAGAGAGAGAGAGAGAGAGAGAGAGAGAGAGGGGGGGGGGGGATTGGTGCTCTCATATACAAAACGATTGTGATAGAGTCCCAAGCTAAACACTTTCAAGTTACTTAAAATCTGATACACTTGTAATTATAAAAACTAAAGATGAATTATATTGTAAAAATACATTAGATACCAACTATATCCAAAACCCAATTTAAAAAGCTCCGAATTCCAGCCCCATCCAAACGTGCTTTTATTTATTTATTAAGGTAGTGTTTGAGCTTCCCAACACTAAAAGTCCTTTGTTTGAAATGCCTTTCTTGAAGGAATTTTATCAAAAGGATTCAATCATGAATAGATGTTTGGTGAATGAATTTTAAAAAGTTCTTGAGATAAGTAGAACAGTTTTCAATTGCCAACATTACCCATGACCTATATATGTTCCTTGTACTCGAGTAAAATTATCCAATTAAAATATAATAAAAATTCTTGTATGTAATTGAATGGCAATAGTTGACCGCTCAATGATAGGGGTGACAATATTTGGCACGACACGCTAACACAACACAAGATAAGAGGGTTTAGGTCTGGGCTAATCATGTTCGTATCGTAATTTTGTTGACACGGATTGACCCGTTAACTAAATGTTTCGTGTTCGTGCTTGACCCTACTAACATGATTATGACACAATTAACCCGATTAACTAAACGTGTCGTATTCGTGTAAAATATGACCTATTTAGCTAAACATGTAAAATGAATGTATCGTATTTGTGTCAAAAATGATTTAAACGTGTTTTTTCGTATAGTGCCAAGTCTTGACCCATTTATTAAATGGGTTACGCGTGTCATGTCGTGTTACATTTATAATAATCGTGTCGTTTTCGTGTCAAGGGGTCTTGACACGATTAATATCGTGTAGTGTTCGTGTCGACTCTGATCATGTTCGTGTCATAATTATGTTGACACGAACACGACCTATCAACACAAATTGTTACCCCTACTCGATGAGTTTCATATATATACATATCATTCCTTAGTACACATCAAAATACCAAAGCATTTCTCCCTTTTAGAAGGGCATGCGACCAAATTTCCTTAGCGTAGATGAAGATCGTCTATCCCAATTGAAGAAAAAGGAGTTTCATAAATCCTCCACAAATACAAACACTATTGTAGATATTTGTGAACTTATATAATACTAATAATAATAATAATAATAATAATAATAATAATATAATCTATTATATTGAAACTGAAACAAGAATTCTATTTAGATATTTGTATTTCATCTCTGAGCAGGCATCCATGGTTACGAAGAAAAACATGAAAGAGAAACCTGGTTTGTAATTAAATTAAAAAATAAAGTTATTATTGATAAAGGAACAAAATACACAGGGACAAAATAGGAGGTTTTGTGTTTGTTACTTAAAACGGATCTTGCATCCCTAGAAGTTGTTGGAAAAGCAGGTTTTACTATCTTTCACTAAACGAGCTTTTAAGCAGTTGGTTTTTCCTGGAAGCCCGTTTCAATATCTTAGCTAAACACACAAATTTTTAGGAAAGGACTTTTTGGGCCAAAAAACCTGTTGTCTAAAAGTACGTTTTCACTTCACCAAACACCACTAAATGCTAGTATGTTTTAAATTCAACAAACTTTATGGGATCAATCAAACAACCAAGGTTTTTTGAGATTAAAACACTTCAAAACTTTGATGTAAAATCACGAATAAGTGACATCTACTTTTTATTCATTAAAAGCCCACATAACATCTGTCTTTATTTTTTCATTCTACAATATGTATGGCTATGCATATCCTAACATACTATCACATTATTAATAGAGGTAAACATAATTAACCTTTTAGGGATGAAAATTCGAAAGTGACCATCCAATGCTTTCAACAAGGAGACCCCAAAAAACTTTTACATAGCGTGAAAAATGTGGTAAAATCTTTTCACAACATGCAAAGAAAATATTTATTGCGTGCTAGATGGTTATTTACAAAAGATTTTTGAATCCGATAAATATGAATCACTATTTATTGCATTGATTCATTGAACTCGTAAAAAGTATTTACAGATGCTTTGCACTCTAGATGCTAATTTTTCTGTAGTGTTCTTTAAAACTTTGAAGTAAAAACGACAATAAGTGAAGCATACTCTTTATTCAATTATCTCTAAAAATCCACAAAACATCTGTTCTTATTTTATCTTTCTACAATATGGTAATACAGATTATTCTAACATACTATTACATTATTAATAGATGTAAACATAGTTAACCTTACAGGCTGATACTGAAACTGAAAATTCAATAGTGACCATCCAATGTTTTCTACCTTCTTGTTTTAATATCATAAGCTAAAGGATGATAAGGAATTGGAATCACACACAAATCTCTTTTCCTGCCAATTGCTGCACCAAATACCTCAGTCATGTCTAGATCTTCTTGCTTCTCTCCATCAGGAAGCTTCTAGTCAAACTAATACAATAAATTTGCAAGTGGAAGCTCAATATTAGCTATCCCGAATGACATGCCAGGACATATTCTCCTTCCAGCACCAAATGGTGTGTATTGAAAATGAGTCCCCTTGTAATCAACTGAACTGTCAAGGAATCTCTCTGGCTGAAAGCTCTCTGAATCACTCCAATTTTTAGGATCCCTAGTAGTTGCCCATGCATTAACAATGACTTGGGTTTTCGCAGGTATCTTATATCCATTGATTTCACATCTCTCTCTGCTCTCTCTCGGAAGTAATAGAGCACCAGGAGTGTGTATTCTGAGAGTTTCTTTGGTAACTAACCTTAAGTAATTCAAGTCATAGAGGTCATCTTCATTAAGAATATTTCTTTTTTGACATACAACACGTCTCACCTCAGCTTGTGCCTTTTCCATAACTCTTGGGTTTTTCAATATTTTGGACATTGCCCAAATTAAAGTTGTAGATGATGTCTCGACCCTGGCAATGAACATGTCCTGAAAGAGCATTGAAATTGATAATTAATTTAGTACTATATCATGACTTATTGACACCTAATATAGCATTGAAGTTGGAGTAGCATTACATACTAAATTTTAGTATGTAAATAGGGTTTTGGACTTAATTCATTGAAAGTAAATGTACTAACCAAGATAACTGCTTTGACGGTTGTCATATCTAAGGGGATATCAAGATTACCCTGCTCCTGAACTCTTAGAAGAACGTCTGTCGGGTCTTCTTAATCAGCTTCACCATGGATATCACCGGTATGTGTTGCCACCTTCCTAGCTTTATGCTCATCAATGATCTTATCGAATACCTTATCAAGTTTTTGATGAGTCTCTTTAGCTCTAGGCTTCAACCCAGTTATCAAAGCAAGCAGTTTAACTGAAGGAAAGAGATCGGCATCAGTGAAACCTCATGATAAATAACTTAAAAAATAAAACTTTGAAGTAATAAAGAGAGTCGGTATATGATTGTTGATACAGGAGAAAGGAAAAAATACATAGAAAATTTTCTTTCAAAAAAAAAAAATGTTATATTTATTAATATATTACAAAAAAATCTTAAAATATGATCCAAAAGAATAAACTCTATGCAATCACAAAGTCCTTAAAAAAATAAAAAAGGAGTTCTAACCATGTATTTCAATTTGCATACAAGTCTTTCGAAAGAGAAAAAATTATTTCACAAAGATAGTAAGAGATAGTGGGTGATAAAGATGGATTCATACACACATTTTATGATGTTAAGAAGATAGTTATTGTGAAAGAAAACAAAAATGAATTATGACTGAACATGTATTTCAATTTGGATACAACTATTTGGACATAGGAAAATATAATATAAAAAATACAAACAAAAAAAAAAAATAAATATATTTTTAAATTTTTTTACTTAAAATATTAAATATATAAAAAATACAAAATAAATAATATATACATATATATAGCAATATATTGTAGCCAGCCACATAAGCACAATTGTTGATAGGGCTAGCAGTCTACATCAGCATTGCTAGCTGCCCAACAGAACCCAATTAATAAGATGACATAAATGGTGGTCATCTTTTGTAGGTGCTTCCTCAGCCATAACTAAAGGCGGAACCAATTTTGGAACTGCAACCAGTAGTCAACTTACCAATAAACTTCAGCTCTCTACGGCAGGTCGGCAAGAATCATGATAGGTACAAAAATTGTCAATTTTAAAAAGTCAAAGAATAAACCCAACACACCCGAAGAAAATAATCAAAACAAAGATTTAGGTTTAAAGGTCCGAAGACACCGATTGGACCCATCTTGTTAACTGGGCTGAAAAGACTAAGGACATATCCTTGGCTTACCGAGTTGGGCTTTCAAAGTTGGATGACCCAAGAAAAAAATTGTTAAAGCTGGTGACGGGGTTGATTGTAATTGGCTTGCGTTCAATATATATTTTTTTTGGGTAAATAAATATGTATTTAAAAAGGTAAAAAAAATACATAGGTACATTGGTGCAAATGACACTCAAGCGGTTACTCTCCACGTTGCACTCGGGTTGAAGACTTTGAACTCGTCTCAATGAAGCCCAAATATATGATAAAGAAGAACGATTTTTAGAAAACTGAAAATTCTGTCAAAGGTGGCTTCTTTCATAACTACCTTAATTTTTTTTCCCCCATGAAAAGTCAAGTAATATATTAACATGTTAAATTTTTACAGTGATGGTGAAGGATTGAGCCCAATACAGGGGAGAAATCGCAAAGAAAGAAAGCCTACCAGAGGAAATTGGACCCAAACAAACAACGCCTGAGCTCAACACTTGGTAGAAATGCCGAACAAAGAATGTCCAATATAGGAAATTTGACTCAAACAATCAAGAGACCAAAAGGCCCAATACACGATTCTTGGTTGTTAAAGCTGAAGATCCCAATCCATGTTGGAGCTCTTGCTTGATGTTTGACAGAAGAAATCATCAAATCATGGCAATTTATGTCTTCTCTTTTCCCAAGTCTAACCTTAAAATGAAAATCTCCACTCCCTTTAATTTTCTATAATCTCGTCTCTCACAGCCGTCTCTTTCTACTCCATAACCCCTTCATGTATTTAGAAAACATGAACAATTATTGTTGAAAGAAGATAGCAGGGGAAAGTTTTGAAGATTGAGAAATGAATGTAAATTTAATCCAATGAAACTAATATTAAACATCAATTTTGCAAAATCTACACTAATATAAAATTTATTTGGTAACAGTATTGGTTAAAGTACTTTTATTACTAATTTTACTATATTATCCATACAGTAATAAACTTGTGCGTTACCCAAAAGTAATTCCTATCATACAGCAGAAAAATTCCTCATACTGTTTAAAAATATATATATTAAAATATAGAATATCATAAGCTAAGTGTAAAAAATAGAAATTGGACTCGAAATCAAACTAGCAATAGTAGTCCACACAATATTGCAATACTCATATCTACATATAAATATATATATATATATATATATACACACGCACACACACTGTTGGTACACTAGTAATTATAAAGCAAAGGATGAATTATATTGTAAAAATATGTTAGATACCAACTTCTACCCAGAATGCAATTAAAAAAGTCGCTTTTTAATTATTATTTATTAAACCTCTACAAAAGTACGTTTTTTCTTCACCGCTAAACGCTATTTTTTAAATTCAATGAATTTTACAGGCTCAATCAAACAACCAAGTTTTTTTGAGATTAAAATACTTTAAAACTTTGATGTAAAATCACCAATAAGTGAAGTCTACTTTTTATTCATTAAAAGCTCACATAACATATGTCCTTATTTTTCCAATCTACAATATGGCTATGTATATCCTAACATACTATTACATTATTATTATTAGACGTAAACAAAATTAAACTTACAGGCTGATAGTGAAACTGGAAATTCAATAATGACCATCCAATGCTTTCTTGTCTTAATATCTTAAGCTGAAGGATGATAAGGAATTTGAATCACACACATATCTCTTTTCCTGCCAACCAACTATTGCACCAAAGACTTCAGTCATGTCTAGATCTTCTGGATTATCTCCATAAAGAAGCTTCCAGTCAAACTGATACAATAATTTCGCAAGTGGAAGCTCAATATTGGTTATCCCGAATGACATGCCAGGACATATTCTCCTTCCAGCACCAAATGGTGTGTATTAAAAATGAGTCCCCTTGTAATCAACTAAATTGTCAAGGAATCTCTCTGGTTGAAAGCTCTTTGGATCACTCCAATTTTCAGAATCTCTACCAATTGCCCATGTATTAACAATGACTTGGGTTTTCGCAGGTATCTCATATCCATTGATTTCACATCTCTCTTTGCTCTCTCTCGGAAGTAATAGAGCGCCGGGACTGTGTATTCTAAGAGTTTCTTTAATAACTAACCTTTCAGTAATTTAAGTCATGGAGGTCTTCTTCATTAAGAATATTTCCTTTTTGACATAAAACCTCAGCATGTGCTTTTTTCATAACTCTTGGATAGATCAAAGACACAATCTTTATTGTGTAGCGAGGGATACACAATCTAATTATATATAGGAGATTCAATCTAAAGTTTCTCAAGAATCTTTACAGAGATACAATGTGATTTATTTATAAAACAGATATACAATTTGATTTATAATTGTCAAAAGATACTGATTAAGATGAAACCAAATTAAAAAAAGGATTACAACTTTTCAAATAGTTAATTACCTTATATTTTAAAATGAGTCTCATTAAATTTGATACATGAGTAGCTACATAGACTTGGTTAATTATAGGGGTTTTTTTTTTTTTGGGGTAAATAGCAGTGCTCTTTTTAAATTCAACGAAATTTATAGGGTCAATGAAACAACCAAGTTTTTTGAGATTAAAACACTTTAAAACTTTGATGTAAAATCACCAATAAGTGAAGTCTACTTTTTATTCATTAAAAGCCCACATAACATCTGTCCTTATTTTTCCATTCTACAATATGCATGGCATGCATATCCTAACATACTATCACATTATTAATAGAGGTAAACATAATAAACCTTATAGGGAAACTGAAAATTCAAAGTGACCGTCCAATGCTTTCAACAAGGAGACGGGAAAAAACTTTTACATAGCATGAAAAATGTGGTAAAATCTTTGCACAACATGCAAACAAAATATTTATTGCGTGCTAGATGGTTATTTACAAAGATTTTTGAATTCGATAAATACGAATTACTATTTACTACCTTGATTCGTGGAACTCGTAAAAAGTATTTACACATGCTTTGCACTCTATAGATGCTAATTTTTCTGTAGTGTTCTTTAAAACTTTGTAATAAAAACGACAATAACTGAAGCATACTCTTTATTCAATTATCTCTAAAAAGCCACAAAAACATTTGTTCTTATTTTATCTTTCTATAATATGGTTATACAGATTATTCTAACATACTATTACATTATTAATAGATGTAAACATAGTTAACCTTACAAGCTGATACTGAAACTGAAAATGTTTTCTACCTTCTTGTCTTAATATCTTAAGCTGAAGGATGATAAGGAATTGGAATCACACACAAATCTCTTTTCCTGCCAACTGCTGCACCAAATACCTCAGTCATGTCTAGATCTTCTTGCTTCTCTCCATCAGGAAGCTTCCAGTCAAACTGATACAATAAATTTGCAAGTGGAAGCTCAATATTAGCTATCCCGAATGACATGCCAGGACATATTCTCCTTCCAGCACCAAATGGTGTGTATTGAAAATGAGTCCCCTTGTAATCAACTGAGCTGTCAAGGAATCTCTCTGGCTGAAAGCTCTCTGGATCACTCCAATTTTCAGGATCTCTAGCAATTGCCCATGCATTAACAATGACTTGGGTTTTTGCAGGTATCTCATATCCATTGATTTCACATCTCTCTCTACTCTCTCTCGGAAGTAATAGAGCTCCAGGAGTATGTATTCTGAGAGTTTCTTTGATAATTAACCTTAAGTAATTCAAGTCACGGAGGTCATCTTCATTAAGAATATTTCCTTTTTGACATACAACACGTCTCACCTCAGCTTGTGCCTTTTCCATAACTCTTGGGTTTTTCAGCATTTCTGACATTGCCCAAATTAAAGTTGTAGATGATGTCTCGACCCCGGCAATGAACATATCCTGAAAGAGCATTGAAATTGGTAATTAATTTAGTACAATATGATGACTTATTGACACCTAATATAGCATTGAAGTTGGAGCAGCATTACATACAGAATTTAGTATGTAAATAGGGTTTTGGACTTAATTCATTGAAAGTAAATGTACTAACCAAGATAACTGCTTTGACGGTTGTCATATCTAAGGGGATATCAAGATTAACCTGCTCCTGAACTCTTAGAAGAACATCTACCAGGTCTTCTTGATCAGCTTCACCATGGATATCACCGGTCTGTGTTGCCACCTTCCTAGCTTTATGCTCATCAATGATCTTATCGAATACCTTATCAAGTTTTCGATGAGTCTCTTCAGCTCTAGGCTTCAGCCCAGTTATCAAAGCAATCAGTTTAATTGAAGGAAAGAGATCGGCAACAGTGAAACCTCCTGATAACTGTATGGTATCCCTCACAAGTCCTATGAATTCTTCTTGCCCATCGAATTTCTTACCAACTGCCGTCTTTGTAGTGATGTTGTATGTCATGGAGAAAATCTTTTCAGTGAGATTGCACAGAGATCCAGCTGTATGGGTCGCAATGGATTGGATCAAATTCGAGATTGCTTCTTCCCTGATGGGTCGGAATGACTGGACACGTTTGGCACTTAGAAGCTCCAGGATGCAAAGTTTTCTAAGTTGTCTCCAGTGATCCCCATAAGGTGCGAAGGCGATGTCATTCTTAGATATGATATCTGTAGCAAGACTGCAAGGCCTGCTGGCAAAGATAATGTCATGTGTTTTCATCACTTCTTTGGCATATTCTGCTGAAGTAATGACAACAAAAGAAAGTTGTCCAAGTCGGAGGTGCATCAAAGGTCCATATTTCATGGCCAAATCTCTTAGGCCGCGATGGGGTAGAGATCCAACAAATTGGTGAAGGTTTCCTATTAGAGGTAGCTTCCGTGGCCCTGGAGGCAATCTTGGAGATGAAGTGATCATGGTTTTTAATAGCATGAACAGAAAGAATAGGAATGTGAAAATCACTGGGAAGGAGAGGAATGGGAACTCCATCATCAATTGTAAAGCTGCGTTCGAGAATTCACTTGTCTCAATGGTATGATTGCTTTCCATCCAGATTTATGATTGCTAGCTGTGGAACCTTGAAGTTCTGCAAAATAGTCTTAGCATTTTCAGTTTTCTTTTCTATATATGTTGTACGCATGGTTTCTTGGTTTCCTGAATAATTAAATTAAGATGCTTTAAGTTGGTTCCATATTTGCCACATTTGAATATGTAAATGTTTAGCGTTGAATCAAGAAAGACATTTAGATATATACATGTTACAGATGAAGGATTTATGAACAAGTCAATCAGACCTTTTGACAAGATTCTTTCTTTATTGAAATGCAGATAATTTTAACATATCTATTTTTCAAATAAGATAGAAAAACCTTATTAATTTGTATTTATATTTGTATTTTTTTGTTTTGTTTATTTTTTTCTTGAAAGTTTAAGAAAATACATGCGCACTAGAAAAGTTTATACCGAGATAAGAGTTTATTTCATATATATATATTAATGGGGCCGAAGATGATTTAAAAGGCCTTTTGAAACCTTTCATTGCATTCAGGATAAAAAAAAACCCACTTCATTGATTTCTAGTTACGCGTAAAAATATACAATATTTCTAGTTACGTGTAAAAATATACAATATTTCTAGTTACAATATACAATATTTCTAGTTACGTGTAAAAATATACGACAAAATGTTAGATGAATTAAAGAGAAAACGGAGAAGACAAGTCAATTTTTTCAAGTATTTTGAATATACGGAAGAGTTGTGCATATTCAGGAATAGTCATATCTATTCCTAAAATACATCTTTGTTCGATCAGTGACTTTTGAATTCGTAATCAATAAATAGGATTTTTATTAAAATATTATATACAATGAATTTTACAATTCTCACTATATATCTATTTTATTGTTATTATTGTCAGTCAAATTATAAACATTTTCCGGGAGTGTTAAAGAAAATTTATCAGTATTGCAGATTACGGATTCCAACTTTGTTGAATTATGGAGTGCTCGGTTATAGAATTCGGTCGCAAATTTAATTACACACTTTAATTAGAAACTTCATAAATAATAACCTATGTAAGGTGACTCCAAGACTTAAAGTCACAATCATTTTCCCTGCTTCAATTTTTAGTATTGGTCATAAAAATCACACACCACACAAAACATGAAGATTTAACGTGATTCAGATTATGACTTAAGTACCCTATAAACATCAACAAACAATTTTCACGTATTATACAAAGAAATAAGGAGATTACAAGTCTTTCAAATCCTGTTGTTGTTTAGCTGAGAGTATTTACTTTTTTTTTTTCTTCATAATAATAAAAAATTAATAAAATTAGTTGAAAAAAGTTCATGCATGTACAGGTAGAGCAAGAGAGAGAGACTTACAGAGCTTGGAAAGTGAAACAGAGAGAACAAATTAATTAAGCCTGTGAATTACAGATAACTTTGACCTCTATTTATAGATGAGATAAACTTTGCCCGCGTCATATTAACGTTGCATTGTTGAACATATATCATTGACCAAAAAAATGTTCAACTTACAAAGATTTTATTCAATTAAGCATAGTCCAAATAAATTGCTGTTTTTAAAAAAAAATTTTGTAAGTTGAACATTTATTTGGACTATGCTTAATTGAATAAAATCTTTGTAAGTTGAACATTTTTTTGGTCAATGATATATGTTCAACAATGCAACGTTAATATGACGTGGGCAAAGTTTATCTCATCTATAAATAGAGGTCAAAGTTATCTGTTCACAGGCTTAATTAATTTGTTCTCTCTGTTTCACTTTCCAAGCACTGTAAGTCTCTCTCTCTCTTGCTCTACCTGTACATGCATGAACTTTTTTCAACTAATTTTATTTATTTATTATTATTATGAAGAAAAAAAAAAAGTAAAAACTCTCAGCTAAACAACAACAGGATTTGAAAGACTT